AAATCTTATTCATTCATTTGTATTGTGTTTATTTTGTAATTAGTTATGAGTAATGCTAGAGACTCCAAATATTCTATCAAAAGTTTTACTAAATGTCTCACATGGGTGTGGGACTCACACAATGTGGGTCCCATGTGGGTCCCACACCCATGTGAGACATTTGGTAAAATTTTTAGTAAAATTTTTGAGACCTCTAGCATTTTTGATTAGTTATTGCCCTTGAACACATGGAGGATATAGAATGTGAAAATGAAAGAAAACTCAAAATCATTCAATATGATGACCAACTAGGAGGGTTACATTAATTAAGGTCTAAATGAAGTGGGGGTCTCTCATAAATATAAATTAAACACCATTGTTTTATTCAACTCCCTCTACACCTAGCATAACTCTCTAGTCGTCCTTCAGTGCATTAATTCTGAAATACTTTAGTTGATCCTGCAAAAATCAAATTTAAACATTGATTAGTCAAATTCAACGATCATGCTTGTATATCTTGTTGGAAATGGTTTGGAAAATTTGGATAAAAAAATAGATTTTTTCCTAACTTTAGTTTAATATTTAGGTGAGACCTGTGCATCGATTTTTGCGGGTCGAAATGGTAACGTGTTTTATGCCGCGTTGTGATTCACGTGGTATATTTGGTTGCTCAAAACCATTATCGAGTGAATGTGAAATTGAAGTCAAAGTGTGCTCCATAGAAATGGAATTTTGGTGAAAATTCCTTATGCTGTGTTTGGTTGAGGGATTTTGAGAAGGATTTGGAAAGGGAAATGGAAAAGATGTGTGAAACTAGGTGAAATGTAGGTATATTTTATTCACATTTCACCAAACTTTTCCCTTTCCCTTTCCAAATCTCACTTCAAATTCTCCAACCAAACACAGCATTAAAGTTTGTGTAAATGACTTGTCCCACATTGATTTGGTAAGAAGTTTTGAATGGGTTTATAAAGTTTAGGATTGGTACTTGGGGTGTGCCTCAAGGGATACCCAAATTTGTAGAAGGGAGAGGTTATGGGGCAAAATGGGTTAGACCTATTGGACCCAAAAATCACTACGCGTCGCTGTCCGGTCGGGCTGAGCTTGGGCGTGGGTGCGTGGTGTGAGGTTGGGTTGGGCTTGTCTAGCCCAATACCTATCTTTTTTGGGCAAAAAATATTTGAATTTAATTTTATTTTTTGGTAAAATAAAATCCAGAATACAAATTAAACCAGAAATAAACTGGTCCGATTTTTCTGTACACCCAAACAGGTCCCTTCCGTTTTTATCTGTTTGTATTTTAAACCCAACAGATTTAAATCTGTTTAATTCAAAACCAAACAGGTTTCATACCTGTTCAAAACAGGTTAGCATCTGTTTAATTCAAAATCAATAGCCACCACTATATCTATAAATAAGCAGCCCTCATTTGATGAAATCATTCACTAATTTCGTTCATAAAATTCTGCATACATAATCTTCATATTGCTGCATTATTTTCTTGTGAGAGATAGTATAAACACTTAGTGTGTTCGTCGAACGAATAAATTGTAGTGCTGCTTTTATTCGTTGATAGATCATTTTATCCTGGGAGATAGACGTTCGTATTCTGAAAGTATCGAGGAGAGGACGAATCTGTCTTAAGGACACAGTGTCGAACACTGGACTTGATCAGAATAATATTCAACATATTAATCAAGTTATTTATTTATTTTCTGTTTTATTATTATTTATTTAAATCAGATTTTAATTTTGTTTTTATAACAAAATAAAATCTGTTTTTATTTATTTAATTCTATTTCTAGTTTGATTTTTGTAATCAAACATTTTTCTTCCTTTCTTTTATTTCTTTTGTTTTCTATTTATTATTAAGTATACAAACATAATTAATTTTTTTAAATACAATAAAGATTGTCCAATAATCTTAACATATCTTAGCTGTCAAATTCACTGCATAATTTGACAGTAATTCTAACTTTCAAAACAAAAATGTTTTACCAATTTTTCTTTTTAAAAAAAAAATTATAAGTCAACGAAAAACGTTTTTCATGATTACTCACGTCTCGCAGTTGGTGGTAGCCGAGACAGTGAATCCAACATTGATCTTGCAAGCAGAAGGGATCTGGCTCAAGAACTTGTCCTGCAACCCCATATTCTTAGCACTGTTCTTCAAGCACCTGCATATATCCTTCTTGTCTTGCACAGACGTCATGCTCTGAGCCAACAGTTGCAACCCACTGCAGCATTCGTCCGACGGCTTTGAGTCCTTGCCGGTTGCAAACATCACGCAGGAGGCAGCCCTGGCAGTGACGGTGGGGCAGGGAATGGTTGCTTGAGTTGTATGAACAAGGAGGAAGAGGAGGGAGAGGAGGAAGATCATATAGAACAATGGCGTAGTCATGAATTTTCTTTGGTCGGGTCATTTAACAAAGCATTATCAATGTCATATATCATATTTTTAGAACCAAAATCTGTCAATATTAACATTCACATAATACTCTGTAAATTTCATATATTACCAAATCACATTGACAAAAGTAACCCAAACTAATGAAATTACAAGTAAAAATAAAACATTGGGATATTAACACCATTAGTTTAACAAAAATAAGTAAATATCTACGCTACTACAATTATCCGCGACGACTTTTTAATTTTTGAAATCGCTGCATAAAGTTTGATTTTGTTTTTGTTTTTACCTACTGGGTCAATTTGTAAAAATTTAAAAATTAATTTATTTTATTTAGACTCACTAAGTTCAAGTAGTAAATATTCATAACTTTTTACATATACTTTATCAAAAATTTGAAGGTCATGGTGTCAATTGACACCACTGTTTAAAGCATAGCTCCACCCTGATGGAGAAGAAGAGGTTCTTCTTCATTTTTTTTGGGCGTTGAAGGGAGTAAGTGAGTGATTGTTGAATTTGTAGGGGTACTTTGTAGGCAAGGGTTCTTCATTTTTTTTTTGGTGTTCAAGTGAGTGAGTGAGTGAGTGTTGAATTTGTAGGGGTGCTTTGTAGGCAAGGGTTGGTGAAAATGGTGAGGGATTGTTGGGGTTTGTATAGGGTAGTGAAGGGAAGGGAAGGGATGGGATTGGAGCAGTAATGATTAGTTGCTCTATTAGAGTTTTATTGAGTTGACACTATTATTAAAAAAAATAAAAAAAATAAAATTAAATTAAATCAAAATATCATATTAAGATGAGACTCACAGTATTATCACTTCGTTAATATAACTTTAGAACTGTTGTTTTAGTGGTCCGAAACACTATTTGGATTAGGGGGAGGTTGAGTTTGGCAATGGGATTTGCTGAGATAAGTTTTTTTCATGAAAGTGAAATGTGTTTGGTGTCTAGGAAAATGAAAAAAATATCAAACTATATTGGGATTTGCAAAAGTTTTTTTTGTCACTATCTATCTAGCTGACTGGATCAGCCAGCTTCATTTAAAATTGATTATTTTAGTAATTTTTTAATTTTTTATAAAAAAATAAAAAAAATGATGTGATAATGATCAGTGTGTTTTGTTTGAATTTTTTGGATTAAATTTTTTAAAAATTGAGTTTTTTGATTTTTGTAATTTTTTTATTTTTAGTAAATATTTTTAAAATTTTAAACATGTTATATATTTTTTTAGATGCACCTTATTTAAATGTATCTAAAAAGTAAAAAAATTGTGAAAAAATATTTTAAAAAATTAATCCATACATAAAAATATAAAAAATATACTGAATTCTCGTTTTTTTTTTGTATTTTTGGTATTTAGTGAATTTTTAAAAAGTTTTTTTCATAATTTTTTTACTTTTTAAGTATATTTATGTTAGGTATATTTTATTCTTCTGTATATTTATGTTAGGTATGTCTAAAAAGTAAAAAAAAAAAATAGCTTAAAATATTAAAAAATTTCAGTAAAAATATAAAAATATAAAAAATAAGAAAATAGAATTTTCTGAGAAGTGTTTTTGGAAAAAAAGAATCAAACAAAGTGTGAATTTTTTAATTTTTTTGGACTAAAAAGTGAATTTTTTAATTTTTTTTTTTTGACTAAAATATCTAGTTCCCAATCAAGGCCGGCTTGGAGCATCTACGAGTGTAATATTTAGGGGGAAAATTATTAGAGAGAAATTGATTATAAAATTAGATATATAATATTTTTATATGTAATATATATATGAGAAGAGTTTTATTTTTTACGAATCCCAAATTCCTGTGATGGTAGTGTCTAATTTTATAATTAATTTTTGTGCAATTAGAAGAATTAATATTTAGGTGTAGCAGTGTCAAAATAGAGAAATTATAATATTCTTAGAGCAAATAAGAAAGTACATGTAGGCCATGTTTGTTTGGGTGGATATGAGCTTAGGATTGGACTAATAGTCCAATAAAATTATTAATCCGATGTTTGGTTAAACAATTGAAATGCGGACTAATTATTTTAAACTTGACTATTAGTTAAGATAGGATATATAATCCAACGGATTGGTAGTCATAGGACTGTTAGTCATGGGAATGCTAATCCAGTCCGTCCAAACAAACATGGCCGTAATGTTCAAAATTGATAGCTATTCATTGAAAAATAGGACCCATCATTTTAGTACTGGTATTTTAAGAAACAATATAAAAAATGCCAATCAATAAGTGGAATAGAGCATTATGAGAACAATGAATAATTTTTCATCAAAATAGTGTAGTGTAAAGAAAACACTCATTTTAGTAGTGTAGTATATTCAAAGTGATTATGTATAATAAAAAAAAACTCAAAAATAGTTTTCAAAAACTAAACTAAATATATTTTATAACATTTAATTATACTTGGTGTTAATCATTTATTTTATGTGCATATGTTTTTGTTGACTCATTTCTTCTCTCAAATGACAAAAAAAGTAATTTGAGCATAGTAGTAAAGATTTAATTCAAAACAAATAAAATAATTTAAAATTTTAGTTGGCTAGTTCTTATGGCCATCCTTGTGTGCATTTCATTGTGGAAATTGGGTGAGATTGAGTATGAATTTTCTCAACTTTGCTTAAAATAGATGATACTACAATGTTCATTAAGGTTAATTTTGATACATCAGATGAAAGTTTGTTGAATGACTCAGTGAACAAAATTTCTAGCTACGCCACGAGATTCTGACACTTGCTTGAACTTATTATTGTTGAGTTCAACGAAAATCACAAAGTAATACATATGAAACTCCAAACCAAATCTAAAACAAGAACACAAAACAAGTACAAACAAACAAACCTAACAACACAGATTTAGCTGCAACTGAGCTCGGCAACTTACCCTTGTCCTTCCTCAAGAACAGAGCTTTGTACACTGGCAAATTGATCAAAACCAGAACACCACACAAAACAATCTGCATATCCATAATCCCAAACACCGATCTCTTCACCACCGAAACAACAAAAATTATCAAATTAAGCATTGCGAGCGTTGCAAGTATGGAAAACATGGGTGCAGCACTGCCAAACTCCATCAACTCTTGCTCATATCTTTGTGACACGTCAGGGTCTGACACCTTGTTTGTGACTATGAATGTTGTCTCTGAAAACCCGGCTAGCAACAACATGGTGTCAAGGAAGGCGAAGAGGTAGGAGGTTGTTCTCTTGTAGAGCCAAATGCGTTGGTTGTTCCACCAACCTAGGACTGTGCCACTGCACTGCAAGAACTCGACTAGGCTGTGTGTGTACTGGGCGATTATTACATATGCGAATGGAATAAACCAAGGGTTTGAGACCTGGATTTTTAGGACAAGGTTGGAATCATTTGAGAGAAACAGCCCATGCAATTGAGATTTTTAAGGAAATTGGAGAAAGGAGATGTGGATTGGTTTCTAATGTTTGTTCTTTGTTTCTTCAGTGTTGTTTATTTTCGGTTAATACACTGTCAATCCCTAAAATATTTTCATTTTGATTTCTAATAATTCAGTTGTGTTGATTTAGTCCCCAAATCATCAAATTTGTGTTAAATGGTTCTGTTTTCATCTAAATTTTCGTTCAAATTTTGTCCAAACTTGCACAAAAATACATATCCTTCCTTATAAAATTTGAACAGAAGGACATTAGGGACCATTTAAATACAAATTAAATAAGTTGAGAACTATATTGAAATATTTAACCCCTTGTCTAGCGCTCTTGGATTGTGAGGAGTGTGTTCCTCTATCCTCTCAGGTTATGAGAGGTAAGGTTTGTTCTTTCTCTAGCCAATTAGGTTGTGATTGGTTTCTCTACGTTTGTTATTAAGTAATGCTACGTAGTTAGAAAAAATATTTTGGTTTGGCAACACCATAAATAAACTGTTTATTAGCTTATTTAGGTTAAATCATCTCTTTATTTTTCAACACGTCTTTTCGTAATAAACAAAAAAGTCAGCTTATAAGACATATCCAAAAGCCAACTTATAAGTAGCACAAGATACTCTATTAGGTGGTAATTGTAAGTAGGATGAGATGCTTTGTCTCCAAATCTTTCTATCTCTTTGTCTGAATGTACTTTTAACCATTAGATTATGTTTTGAGATTTTCACATGATTATTTTTTTGATAATCAAGTATCTAGTAAAACCCGAATAATTCTCACATGATCGTATTTATGACATAAGATCCTTGGCCATTGTAAGTAAAAGTTTACAAAGGAAGGGGGAACATACCTGCGGAAACAAGGGTATACCTCTGAGGAGGTAAAGAGAAGGGACAAAAGAGTAATACAATGTTGCAAAGCAATTTGGAGCCCAAAGACAATAGGTAATGTACCCCATTTGAAGACAAGGGCTAAGCTTTCCAAGTCCATACCATGCAGGACTGTACTTGGAGAGCAAAATTTGAAGATCACCTTCAGACCATCTCTTGTGCTGCACAAGGGTTTGATCCAGTGAGGTTGGGGCAACACCCAAGAAGCCCTTTCTTGCTGGATTGTAAAATATTGATTTCCATCCCTTGCATTGAATTGATAACCCTGTTATCACATCTTCCACTGGACAACCATATTTCAATCCCATCTGCAAACAAAAACACACACCCCTATCAATCTCAATTCTCAAATATGTGTGTTTGAGTCATGAAAACAGTCTGTTTAGAAATTGGGTGAAACTGCTTGGTGCTTACACCTTGCCCTACCCATTTTTCTTTTTAAGCTGTGTTCGGATAAAAAAATTGAATGCAAGTTTGTGAAGGAGAAGAGAAAAGTGAAAATAAAATATTTGAACTTTTATTTCATTCACTTTTTCTTTTCTCTTTTTCTTCACAAATTCTTGGTCCAAACACACCAATAACAAGATGTTCATGCACAAGGCTGACTCTTTTTATGTGTATGCATATGCGTACGTGCGTGTGTGTTTGAGAGAGAGAGAGAGACTATCTATCCCTATTGAGCGTTATCCTCAAATTTCAGAAATTGAAACTCTCTCTATAAATTAAAATAAGACTCTGTACATTTTATTCTTATCACACCAGACTTTAGGGAGAAACTCATGCTTTAGGTAGCCTTTTTGTGTGTGTGTGTGTGTGAGAGAGAGAGAGAGTGAGAGAGAAACCTCCCTTCCCCATTGCGTGTTATCTTCAAATCCACAGCTTGCAAGACCTTTCACTCTTTCTTCCAATTCACCTACACTTTCTTCTACATTTCCAACATTCTCTCTCCTCCATTGAATCCTACTTTCCTTGCTGAACTTAGCACCACATAGGATATCCCTCCTGTGAAAGCAGCCAGTTCCAATATACAAAGGACCGCCATGACCATCCAAACCGGGGAACTCCACCTGCATTTCTCAATGGTTCCAACCAAACAAACAAGTAAAATGAATAACTCATGAGATAGTTTACAACTTTCATGTGAAGATTAAGTCTATGAATACAGAAACAATCATAGAACTGGATGCAAAATATATATATATATATATATGAATAGAACAGATATATTACTCACGTCACTCATTACTCTGAATGAACTAGCGTATATTTCATTCTTTGTAACATTGTCAAAGTTCTGTGGAAACTGGACAAAGGCAATTTCATGGCCCTTTTCTTCATCCATGAAGAAGCAAAGTGCATCTCTCACTGAATGTGAATTGTTTGAGTACATGTCGCAATCCACATTTAGAATTATTTGCCCCTTGCTAATTTCTGATGACACCCTTATCTGCACAATTCAATTTAAAGAAGTTATATAAGGTGAATGTATGCTTTTACTAATAAAAATGGTAGTTTCAATGCCACTATACTGATCTGGGAAGGGTTAAATGTATACAGGCTTAAGACCATAAACCAGATGTATATTATTATTTCTCGACCTAGCTACTTGTATGGTTGCAACTTTGCATGTGTGCATTAATTCATGAAAAGTGCTATATATATAAATGGATTATTTAACCAATTTTCTCACCACCAAATACAAATATTTGTACCCAATAATAAAAAAAATCAAAAAAAAAAAAAATCTGATTACGTATAACATTGCTGGTAATTCAATGACATTACCAATGCATTCATGGCTCCAGCTTTGAAGTTATGGGGATGTTGTGGTCTTTTCTCCCTGGCCAAGTATACCAAAGTTGGCAATGTACACCCTTCTACATCCTTGGCTGCCATGTCTCTCCCACCAATTAGTATCTAGAAAAATAATCAAGAGCTAATAACTAACAAGTAAATAAAATTTCCATATAATTATAAGCTATGTTTTTGTTCCACGACAAGGTAAAATTTTTAAAAATTATTGCATCTTGATCATAATTGTGAAGGAAATGTGGAAGGCGAAGTACTTGGATGATGGTGTCATGGTCTTTTCGAGATGAAAATGAATTCCATTGAGAAAATCCTTTATGTTTTAAGCGGATATTTTCTGGGATTCGTTCAAGCTTGACTGCATTGGTTATCCGGTCCTCCATGTCTTCATATAATTTCTGCATCATAAAAATAAAAATAAAAATAAAATCAAAAATCCCAAAAGGGTCTCCAGATACCGATACGAATTTAAATTTTGAAAAATAATAATTACTTATATAATTTTATTAAAAAATTAGTAAGAAAGAATAATAAATCCATATCAACCATTCTTTTAATATTTATGTCAACTATTCCATACATTTTTTGGGGTTATATAATTAGGTCTTAGTGTATAATTTATTGGAGTATAATTTTAAATCATTTTATTGGTTAACATAATTTATTCTACAATTTTAATAATAAAAAGATAATAGACATTTACAAATCAATTAGTATAAAAAAAATGATACTATTATGAAATATGTGAAATAAATAGATGGAATCAGGAGGTGAGTAGCCAAAATTATGCACCAAATTAATAATACATTTTTGCACAATCATTTGGGGAATTACATGCATTTTTTTCTTCATTTGACATGATTATATGCATTTTATTAGATGGCTGGTTCACCTGATCAATGTCCTCTTCTTTCCCATTCCTTATCAAGGCATCTTCCTATCTCCAAATTTTTCAAAAGGCGGATATCTTGTTGATTATTTTTTTTTAAGAATTTAAAAAAAAATTGAAATATTATATTTTGAGGTTCTACTCAACGGACAGAAAAATTAAAATTTTAAAAAACAGTTCAGAAAGAACAAAAAGAGTAAAAATTAATTGGATTTTTTGATTTTTTATTTTAAAAAATTGGGTTTTAAATTTGTCTACACAAAACGGATTGAAAAAATAAAAAATTTAATATAATTTTTTAAAAAATACCAGTAAAAAAAAAAAAATATGACTCTTTAACTGCACATGTTTTCTTTTTGATTTTTTTAAACTTTTTGTATAAAAAAATAAAAAAAAAATTGAGAAATGATATAACTTAAAAAAATTAAAAAGCTAAAAAAAGATTAAAAAAAAAAAAAATTTTTTTTGGTTATCTTACACCAATACTCCGCACCATTCCCCTTATCTCTCATTAAACACCTAATAAAAAGTAGCGAGTCTAACAAGCGACCTTAATGCTGTGTTTGGTTGGGGGATTTGGGGAGGAATTTGAAAAGAGAAAGGGAAAAAGTGTGTGAAACTAGGTGAAATATAGACATGGTTTATTCACATTTCACTCACCTTTTCCATTTCTCTTTCCAAATCCCTCTCCAAATCCCCCAACCAAACACAACATAAGTGACAATTATTTCGTGATCGAAACGCATCGTGATCATATTCCTGATCAATTATTAAATAGGGTACTTACGTGTAAATCTTAATAAATAAATTTATTATCTAATAGGTCCTATGTGACAAATTTGTCATAAAAAAAGTCACTAATTATAATTTTTAGTGACAATTTATAAAAATCATGACAACAAATATCACTAATTATTAATTTTTATCGACATTTAAAAAAATTGTAACAAAAACATTGGCTCCGTTTGGTGGAGTTTTCAAAATCTAGTTCCACACTCAGTTTTGAGTATGATGTTTGTTTAGGGTTTTCAAATCATAATTCTACACTCATTTTTCAAAACTCAATTCAAAACATAATCATTACTTTTCAAAACTCATAACCAAACACATAATTCAAAACTCTTTTCAAAACTCCATTCAAATCAATATTTTAAAAATATTTTAATTTTGTTAAGATTTTAAATATTTTAATATTTAAATATGTTACGATTTTTTTAATTTTTTAATTTTTTTAATTTTTTGAATATTTTTAAATATTACGATTTTAATTTTTTAAATTTTAAAATATTTTATAAAAATAAATTCAAACTCTATTTTATAAAAATATTTTTAAATATTTTAATTTTTTTGTTATGTATTTGGTTACGATTTGAGTGTAGAGTTGTGAAAGTAGTATGGAGTTTCGAGTTATGTGTTTGGTTATGAGTTTTAAAAATAATTTTTTAATTGAATTTTGTTTTATGTGTTTGGTTACGATTTGAGTGTAGAGTTATTTTTAAATTTAAAATATTAAAATTTTAAATTATTTTAATTTTTTAAATATTTAAATTATTTAAATTTTTACGATTTAAAATTTTTGAATATTTATTTTAATTTTTTACTTATTAAATTTTTTAGATTATTTAAATTATTTAAATATTTATGATTTAAATTTTTTGAATATTTATTTTGAAAAAAAATTATTTCCTTTGTAGAAAGGAGAAATGATATAACTCAAAAAAATTAAAAAACTAAAAAAAGCTAAAAAAAAAAAAACACTTCTCAAATTACCCAAAGTGATCATTTGGTTATCTTACACCAATACTCCGCACCATTCCCCTTATCTCTCATTAAACACCTAATAAAAAGTAGCGAGTCTAACAAGCGACCTTAAGTGACAATTATTTCGTGATCGAAACGCATCGTGATCATATTCCTGATCAATTATTAAATAGGGTATTTACGTGTAAATCTTAATAAATAAATTTATTATTTAATAGGTCTTATGTGAAAAATTTGTCATAAAAAAAGTTACTAATTATAATTTTTAGCGACAATTTATAAAAATCATGACAAAAAATATCACTAATTATCAATTTTTATCGACATTTAAAAAAATTGTAACAAAAACATTATTTTTAGCGACAATTTTACCAAGACTTATTTCGATAGGACTTGATAAAAATTAAGTCCATCTATTAAAACATATTAGTAATTTACCCTTATTAATTACCATATTCTTACTATTCTCTAGTCATCAACACCAAATCATAAATCTCATCTTCTTCTCCTTCTTCTTCTTCATCATCATCAATCATAACATACCTGGACACCAACTTGGCCAAAAGCACCAAATAATTTCCCCGCAGTTGACCACATATATTGCTCATTAATTATATTATATAGCTTGTCATTCAATTTCAAAGTAGTAGGTGTGGTTCAACTTTTTCCATTTTTTCCAAATGTGGGTCAGATGATAACATCACCAACCTTGATAGAGGCCAAGTCTTGAGACTCATCAGACTGATGATGATGATGGGAGAGAAAATAAGCCGCCGGAGACCGAGGCTCCACCTTGAATTTCTTGCAATAAGGAATCCAATGCTTAGAGAAAAAAGAGGCTTCCAAGAGAGCATAGTATGTCAGATCTGACCCACCGTCGTCGGAGAGATACACACTCATCTTCTCCGGTGGGTAATCGTAAGCCATCACTGACAAGACTGTGTTGATCACCATCATCGGCGGCTCTATTGATGGGTCTGCGGTGCACACGAATATATCTACTTTTGGCAATTCATTCTCGTACCTGTTCATTTAATTTAAGTAATGTTGGTTATATACATCAAGTAATTACTATAAATTGACTCTACTCCATTGTACAAATTTTGTTTCCAATCATTAATAACATTTTGAAAAATGTTTTAAATCTTAAATAATCTATTAAATTTTTTATAAAATCTCTAAAATGAGTATGTGACGCACACAAAATCTCACGCTCATGTCAAAGGTTTGGTAAAAGATTTAATAAATTATTTGAAATCTCTATCATAACTTTAACATTTTTTATGTAATGGATCTGGAACACAAAATTAAATCACTATTTTTTAAAAAATTCAATCTGTCTTGCGTAATGAATTTAAAAAATTTTAAATTTTAAATTTTAAAATGTTTAAAAAGAAGTCAAAATAAGCCCAAAAGTTTTTTTTTTTTTTTGATTTTTTTAAATTAAAGAAATAATTGTATGGCAGTGTGTGGAGCCCATTACAAATTTCAATTATTAACTTTATAATTTCATGCATGAAAAAAAAAATCAATGATAATAATCGTAAATTTTTCATTCCATCATCAAAATAATCCATCATGTCCAATTTTTTTATAAACACTAATTTTTTTATAAATAATATATATTAAAAACAAATATAAATTAAATCATTAAAATAAAATCATTTGAAATCGAAGACAATTCGAAAAGGAGGAAGATTTCCCCCGTTTGAACTGGAACCAGAGGGCGTTGTTTAGGGTTGTAGACTTTATAATAAGTTTCATATCAATATTTTAAATTATTTATTTTGTCAAATATTTTTTATATATTTTTATAATAAGAAAAAGATAGATTTAATAATTATAATTTATTTAATTTATTATATTTGTTAAAAAAAATAAATAATAATTGTATTTTTAAAAATAATTTTTTCTGACAAAAATAATAAATTAAATAAATTATAATTATTTAATCTATCTTTTTCTTATTATAAAAATATATAAAAAATATTTGACAAAATAAATAATTTAAAATATTGATATGAAACTTATTATAAAGTCTACAACCCTAAACAACGCCCTCTGGTTCCAGTTCAAACGGGGGAAATCTTCCTCCTTTTCGAATTGTCTTCGATTTCAAATGATTTTATTTTAATGATTTAATTTATATTTGTTTTTAATATATATTATTTATAAAAAAATTAGTGTTTATAAAAAAATTGGACATGATGGATTATTTTGATGATGGAATGAAAAATTTACGATTATTATAACAATTTAAAATAAGCTTAAATAAGATAATAAGATAATGTCACAAAATTATAATTATTTTATTTTTTTTCTCATAAAAAAAATTTAAAAAAAAAATCAAAAACTTCTTTCTAAAAGAAACTAAATTAGTCAAACTAGATTAATTAAAAATCTAAAAAATTTAAACTAAAAAAATTCTTCATAAAAAAATCCAAAATATCCCACAAAATAAATCATTCAAATTATCAAAATAATATCTATAATCCTTCGACCCAAATAATGTCCTCCCGTCCATAAGAATCTACCTCCATTCCAAAAGACCAAAAAAAAAAGAAAAAAGAAAAAAGAAAAAGAAGCTAACCAGAAAAGAAAGAGATAAGAGACAGAGATACATTATACATACCTCTTTGAGAGCCTGTCCTTGAAGGTGAAACGAAAGGTTCGGTTCCACCGAAGTGATTGAGTGAGGACCCAATAGAGACCGAACCAGAGCTCAGCACCAAACATCCCAATCCAACCCAACCTCCCATCCTCCCCTGCTCCTGGTATGTGACTCCCTCTGTATACCCAAATCAAAGCTATTCCCACAAACACTGTTGTTGCAAACACCCTGTATGCCATCACCCTTACTCTCTCTCTCCTTGTCTCAAACAGAGGAAGGTACCCATCATCACTTCTCATATTTTCTCTCTCCTCCTTCCCTCTCATCTCACCTATACATAATTATAACAATTCTCTGCACACATAATATATACTAGATATGGACACACATGACCTGTCTGCAATTTGTAACACAATCGCATAGGTATGACAATTATTTAAAGTTGTTGAAGAAAATTTAAATAATTTAAAATAATTATTCTATTTTGGGGATATTTTAAAAAAAAAAATTGAAAGAGGAGAGGACTCTCTCTAAAATATTGGCCTTATTTGATAGGGTTTATTTTCAGCTTATTTTAATTTTTAGCTTAATTTAAATTATTTTGATGTGTTTGATTTAGTTTAACAATACAACTTATAGCTTTTTATAAGTAAAAAATTAACTTATTCTTTGAGTGAAAGAGGAGAAGCTTAATTTATAAGTCAAAAATCAACTTATGTTCACAGCTATAAGTTATAAACTGTTAGGTTATAAATTATAATTACTTTCTTACGGCTCTACCAAACAGGGCCATTATTTGGGCTTGTCACGCTTACCAGTCTCAATTTAGGCCTTTTAGGGAGTAATTTTTAACCTTTTAACTCATTTTAAGTTATATTATTTTTTATATTTTTTTTAAAAAAAATTAAAAATAAAAAATTTAATTTTTAATCATCTTTTTAAAACATCTCTTAATAATTTAAATCGTTTATTTTGTGTGATAATTGAAATTATTCATTTTTTTAAATAAAATAAATAAAATATTTTATGATTATTAAATATAATAGACAAAATATTAGATAAAATAAAAGGTTGAAATTATTAAAATGTAACTCATGATGAGTCTACTAGCCTACGCAATAATCTCTAATTCAAATTATGGACTAAAAATACTCTCTCCGTTCCAAAATAATGGTCTCTTTTGGGGAATCTAACTTTTTTTGGTAGTACAATTATTACATTTGAAAAAAGTTAATTTTTCAAAATTATCCTTTTGATAGTACATTTTTTGAGAATATCAATGTCAAAATTGTACTTTTTATATTGTTTATTAATTTAAAAGAATGGCAAAATAGGAAATTTATATTATTTTTGTACTTGATTTTTAAAGAGGGACTAATATTTTGGGACAATAAAAAATGAAATAAGGGACTAATATTTTGGAACGGAGAGAGTAAAATCTAACTCCTCTTATAATTTATACATTAATATAAATAAATAAAAAGATGCAGATATGTATGACTATCCAGGGCATATTGGACGTTTTCCAGCTGTGACAGCGACGGCGGGCATCATTTGGACCTTGATTATGGGTTCCTTTTGGGGAAATTTACCAATAAATCCCATTTCACAAATTATTAAATCAATTAGTCCCAATTTTATTCTTTTGTTCGGATAAGTCCTATCAGTGAGGAAGTTTGTTTTTTGCTGATCCTATTTTCCATATTTAGTGTAACTGTGGACGATTTTACCCATATTTGTTATGTTTTTTGCCACCAATATCAAGATTTTATATATATATGTATATATATCAATCCCCAAAACAGAGTTAGTTGTGACAGAGTGAGACCACAAGCAAGGCAAGGCAAAACCCAAAATTCAATCTGATTTTCGCTCCTATGGAGTGGGTTCGAGGCGATTTACTCGGCCATTGAAGCTTCGAAACAGTGAAGTTATGAATATCCAAGAGTCAGAGCCTTCAATGTATTCACGAGAATGGGTTTGTTCACTGTGATCTCAAGCTTCAAAACGTTCTTCTATGTCAAAACGATGTCGCGAAGATCGCCGATTTTGGTTTGGAAAAGAAATCGGGAGAGAAGATCGTGGGTTTTGAGTTGAGAGGTACGCCGATGTATATGCCGCCGGAGACAGTGGTGGCCGGACAGCAGGAGGCGGCTGCGGACGTATGGGCTTTGGGGTGTTTGGTGGCAGAGATGGTGGCCGGAACGCCGCCATGGCGGTGCTCGGCGGAGAGGAATGTGTGTGTGTGTGTGTGTGTGTTAAAGCCGTCAGTGTGTGTGTGTGTGTGTGCGCGCGCGTGTTAAAGCCATTAGTGTGTGTGTGTGTGCGCGTGTGTATCAGTGTGGGTGCTGTGTTTGGTGTGTGTTGTGTGTGTGGTGTGTGCTGTGTGTGTGTGTGTGTTGTGTGTATGGTGTGTATGAGTGTGGCTGCTGGGTGTGTGTGTTAATGGTGTTTTGTGTGCATGGTGTCTTGTGTCTGCTAGAGAGAGAAGATATGTGTGTGGCTGGGTCTCCATGTAAGAGAGAGAATGCTGAGAGAGATGAGTGGTGTCTAAATGAGGGTAATTACATCCCTCAAAATTTTCCAGGACTAAACGGTTTACTAGAATAAAAATGGAACTAATTGGTTCATAAGTTTACATTTTGGGATTTATTGGTAAATCTCCCATTTGTTTAAGGGCTTAAAATCACGTGTCCATCTCGTGAGGACAGTGCAACTGTATAATGGGAGTTGTTTATCTTCAAAGAATAATACATTTTGCTAGGTATCAAATCAATTGCCTACGTATCATTAGATTCTTGCAAACTTTTTTTCTTTAATTTAAAAAAAAAAGAAGTAGGAATTGAAATTTATTTGTTTTGTCTTGTTTTGGTTTGTTTGTTTATGATCGTTAAATTTGTATTCAGTTAAGTTTTTTAATTTGTTTAAGTTGCATTGATTTCATTAATGGTTTGGGTATAAGACATTAATAGAGTCGTTTGGGGATTGCCAGTTGCTTTTTTATTGTTTTCTTATTTTATTGTTTTTTAAAAAAATAGTATTTGGGATACTTATAGTAACTACATGCTTTGAAGCTAAATTCCCATTTTACCCTCAAAGCCATTGGACATAGCATAGGGTAAAGTAAAGAGGGTAATCTTAGGGCTGAGCAAGTGATCCGTGAAATCCGTAATCCGATCCAGTCCAGTCCAATCCGATAGGTTTGAATTGGTTTTTTAAATCCGCGGTTCGGTTCCGGATTGAAGAATTAAAAATCCGTAGTTTACGGATTGGTTCCGGATTGAACCCCACGGTTCCGGATTGGAACCGATCCGAACCGTATACAAATAGTCTATATTTTTATTATACATCCTCCCCCATAGTATCTTCTCTTAATTCTATATAAAATCTAAACTCAAACCTAAAACCGTATAATATCTTCTTTTATTACTTTTGTTTGTTAGTTTTAAGTTTTAAGTTGTAATGGTTTAAACACTTATAGTGAAACCAATTTTCTTATAGTTGTTTAAATTTTAGAACAGTATGTCAC